CAACATCGTTTCCGTGGGAAAGTTAACAACTAGCTTGGATGAATTTGAAATGGCTTTTGTCACATAGTTAGAAAGCCAGGAAAATTTTCAGAAGTGAATTTGTCTACTTTTTGCATGTTATTAGTATATATTCTTTGGTGTATTACTTAACTAAATAAAAATTGTTAAGTGTTTTATTATAAATCACTAAAAAAAAATCAGGCTTAACTCTCATCAACAATCAAGGGCAAGAAAAAAGAAGATTGGGTAAGTACTTTATTTCTTGTTTTTCACATTTATTCTTTATTTATTATTATAAACGTAACTAAAATCAAAAGTATGGATCTTTTAGGTTATTTAAGACTAGATTAGGTAAAATGAGTACCGTATTTGACGGCATATAGGACTCACTTATTTCCCAAAATTTTGGCTCAAAAAATCGCCCTGCGTCTAATATGTGAAGTTGAGACCTTCCGCAGGCTAATCTTTTTCCTAACGCTCACTATCCTAGCATACGATCAGTACAGCATTCCAACTACGAAATAAGAAATAGGAAATTTGCATAGGCCAGACGCAGTCGAATTTTCAGCATCCTGTTAAAGGATGGAAGGTCAATCTCTTAAAAGTGCGAACGCATGTCCCTTCAGAAACAAGATTTCGTCACGTCATTTTATCTTTACTGTGAAACTTGATATAGCAACCAACTTGTGTCAACAACTCGAAAAATGCACGCCCAATCAGTGAGCGAAGATAGAGATAGAGGCAAATTACAAGCAAACGATAGGGAATGCTACCGCGTGCTCCGTCTATCTATTTAAAGTCTTTGCGTTGAGTGCACGTAGGCTATTTAGCCGATTTGTGAACCAACTTCTGACATTTTTTCCTGGGTGAACTGTAGAGTAAGATAAATCAATCTAATAATAAAATAATAACGGTGAGTGTTTTAACATTGGGGTATTCCTGTCTCTTTATAGTGTACATTTCCATTTTTGGTTTACTCAAATTCATTTTTTTTTTTTCAGTGCTTTAAAAACGTTATGGTAGCAGGAGGAAAAAGATCGAGCTACACAATCTCCTACAAATTACAAGTGGTAGATTATGCCAAGAAGCATGGCAATAGAGCAGGCAGTAAGGGCTTTTGGGCCACCACCTACGGAAAAAATGATACGTGTCTGACGACAGCAAGAAAACCAACTGAAGAGCACAAGGAAAGGTAAATAATACCTTTGTTACCCAGCCCCACATTAGCCAGAACTTGAGGTTGACATAAAAACTTGGGTGGTAAATGAGAGAAATTCAGGAAGAAGTGTTTCTACCAAAATGATAATTCATGAGGCCAGGAAAGTAGCAAAACAACGAGGGATACAGAACTTTGCAGGAACAGAAGGTTGGTGTTATAGGTTTATAAAACAGCAAGATTTATCAATGCGTACAAAAACATCCATTGCACAGAAAATGCCTACTGATTATGAAGAAAAAATATTAGAATTTCATAGATTTGTTATAAATGCACGAAGGAAAACTTGTTTTGAACTTGGCCAAATAGGGAACATGGACGAAGTTCCACTCACATCTGATGTACCATCCAACAGGACTGTGGCTGTCAGAGGGTCTAAAACGGTCTCAATAAAAACCACTTGCCGTGAAAAGACCCACTATACAGCAGTTCTAACCTGTTGTGCTGATGGCACAAAACTGCCACCTCTCTTGATATTTAAAAGAAAAACCCAGCCTAAAGATAAAATTCCAACAAGTGTATTTGTTCTTGTCCACCAAAAAGGTT